CGTTGCAGTTCAGCATGGTAACCATTCGGCCACGGGAGGTAGTTTGGTTTTAGAATAAACTATTAGAATATTAATACAAAGATCAAACGCTTAGAAAAAAGTCCTTTGATTGGGCTGGATTCGAGCCAGCGTCATCTAGCAAACCGTTCCAGGCGCTATGCCAACTAACCCACGGAACGAACCGGCGGACCTTGCGAATTTTTCTATGTGCTGGCTTAGAATAATAACGCATAGAATGATAGTTTCATAAAAAACGAACTGTCACAAGTGAGGCAAAAATCAAATTTATGTAGGCGTAAGCAACTTGTATTTACGCTCATCGGCACGCACACAAATATATAAATAATGATGCCATGGAATAATAACATTTCCCTCAAGTGGGGAAATTGTATCTTGCTTAACTCATCGTTAAGTTAGAGGTGCCTACAGATTTGCTCGATTTTGTCGATCGTTACTGTCGATCAGGTGCCTACAGATATGTTCGATTTTGTCGATCGTTACTGTTGATCGACAACGTCAAGTGAAGTTTCAAAAATTTATTTTTGGTAATCCTTATGGAAATGGCATTTATATCTGAATACACGAAGGCGGACACGACTTTTCTCATTTCTAAATCCAAGATGGCGGACACGTCTTTTCAAATAAATGCAATATGGAAATCGTTTTCGAGGTATTCGAGGTGCTCATCACGAATATGGCATTTATTTCTAAATCCAAGATGGCGGACACGACTTTTGAAATAAATGCAATATGGGTATCATTTTCGAGGTATTTGGGGGTGTTCATTACGAATATGGCACTCATTTCTAAATCCAAGATGGCGGGCACGATTTTTCATATAATGGCAAGTTGGGGATCGTTTTCGAGGTATTTGGGGGTGCTCATTAGGAATGTAGCACTTATTTCTAAATCCAAAATGGCGGACATGACTTTTCAAATAATAGCAAGTTGGGTGTCGTTTTCGAGGTATTTGGGGGTGCTCTTTAAGAACATGGCACTAATTTCTAAATCCAAGATGGCAAAGAATTAGAAGAAGAAGAATTAGAAGTCTTGTCCCCCATCTTCTATTCAGATATACATGCCATTTCCTTATGGTTTACCAAAAATACATTTTTGAAATTTGTTGTCAACCATCTTGGATTTAGAAATTAATGCTACATTCGTAATAAGCACTCTAAAACTCCTCGAAAACGTCTATAATTCTCAATCGTTACTGTCGATCGACAATGTCGAGCAAATCTGTATGCACCTTATTAAATACTACCCAATTCTTATTTAACTCATATATGAACAAAACCTACAAGCGAGTTTAAATGCGACTATCGAATTTGAATATATAAATAGCCTGATATTATCTGTGGGTATGTTTACATGAAAAGTACACGATAACAATAAAGAACCTGCACCTGAAAGTTATTTATACACGATTTTGGAGAACTGACGATGACTTTTTAGTCAGTGTTAGTTCCCTGAAATAATTTTAGTTACGAACTTTTGAGTCTGGCAAAGACAATTTTTTAAAATGAGTGTATGATGAACAAGAATAATGATTTTTCACATGAAACTAATGAAGGCAAATACTAAATATATTTCGTAAAAATAGCTAACGTAAATTCCCTACAATGTTGTTGCGGCGGTGTACATTTGTAGAAATTTTACAACTGTCGCGATATTGCCTGTTCTCAAAAAAGTACGTAATATAATTATTTTGAAACAGAATAGCAAAATGGGGAGAAAAAACCCGTTACTTTGCAACATTTTCGTATCTTGTTGCAACGAAATTAATTTTCTATTTTATTGAATATTTACATAAAAATACAAGTTGAAACGCGTTACTTCCTTGTGGAATGTGATGTTAGTGTCTATTTTATGTTTGTCTGATCTATTTTTAAACCCAATTACCGCATATTTCGTCATTTTTAGCAAAAATCTTTGAGCTGTTCGCGGTACAACTTGACCTTGACCACTGACTGCCCGCTCGCTCATGTAGGCCCATACGGCGTCCTACAATTTGCCTCACTTAGCGGGTGCGGGCTAGGTTTCTATGCGTTATTATTCTAAGTGTGTTGGTTACTCTGTTTTTGGTTTTTATCGACTTTTTGCCGTAGCGCCATCTGTGAGAGATTTATTTCGTTACGGTTATAATACAAACTATGGAGTAATTTCACAAAAAAAATTGGATATCGTGCTGGTGAAACATTCTGACATTCAAGAAACTTAATTACAATTAGAATTTATTTCATTATAATTTATTTCACTATAATTTATTATAATAGGCTCAACTCCATACTGGTGCAGAGTCGAAGTGTCGCGTCGCGTCCTGTTTTTCAACTACAACGTACACGACCCTCGCATTAGTGCGCCCGGATCACAGTGTGGACGGCGTCTGAAGTCTCACTGCGGTCAAGTAACGCGCGGCGACGCGAGTCGACGCGCGATACCGCTCGACTGCAACCAAGCGTAATTTTTTTTAGAGGATGGAAAAATAAGGTAATTATACCTTAGTCAAAGTAAAATAGAAAAGAATACGTTTATTTGCCAGAATACATTAATGATAAAGGCCTTACGTAAAATTAGGTACATTGTATTCAACCTCCAAGCAGATGTGGCTCATATTTTCTATGTAATCGATAAATTGAATCAACGTGTTCAAGGTGAAAAAAAAATTGTTAAAATAGAAAACCAGCAATTAATATAATTACTTATTTATGGAATATAATTCCATCGTTAGCTAGACTGGATGTATCCGAGATTTTTTTGCAAGTTTATATGGCGCAAGACGACATATTTTCTGGAGAACTAGATGGGGTGCATCGATTATTTGGTTATGTACATACTTGATGACGCGGTGAATTTGATAATGGAAATGAAAAAAAAAAAAAATTCTAAAGTAGTTAGTATTGTGCGATGGCATTTTTTTATTTGTACCTTGACAGAGGGGACTGCCTATCAATGACGCCTCCCGTGTTGTATACTCAAACCATCGAGTATATCCATCGACGACTCAAACTATTCATCTGTCTTTGTAGGTACATCTGTAGACAATGATATTATACCCACTGCCTGTAGATATGTATTTATTACAAAAATATAGCCGTCTATCACAGCCCTAGTCTATAAAGGCCGGTTTACAAGACTCAAGTAGTAAGTGATTTGTATAAAGTACATTGCAATTGAAAACTGGTGCAGGCACTTTTATTATGCCAAGTAATATACTCCTACTTACCGGCCACTACTTAACTCATATCAACTGGTCATATTATGGTGTCTACCAAGTAGATTGCATACAAGTACGTTGCTTACGCGCCACATCCGTTCGCAATCTTGTTGCCTGAGTTGGCTGTTAGCTAACGAATTTGCAATTTGGACGCTTAAATTATCCGATATGTTACAACATATCCAACTTTAACATCAAAAATTTCCGAGAATGCACAGGTCTTACTAGGGTGTAACGTAACGGTATGCACGTTATAAAAATTTCATTTCACCACTACTTTCAAAAAGTATTTTGATAAGCATCACTCAGAACCATGCAAACCAGACAACCTGTGCATCCACACCATATCTACACAGACATTTTTAGTTACGTGACAGTGGCCCCCTCTAGCGTCACTACCGAATATTTTTTCCAGTCGCTGCCGAGCTAGCAATTTCCATAGTCGTAGACTTTTTAGTTTGTTGCTTAACTTGGGTGGCAATGTAAGCTCACTTCGCAGTTGTCTGCGGGTTCTAAGCTGTCTACATACATATAATTATATTTGTCATTATTGTCCCAAAGTAAAAAGAACCTATTATTAAAAATATTATTGAAAAACGTCATTCTTTTTGGATATATAATAGCCTAGAGAAATACATACGTACATTTTCATTGATGGTAATAATATAGAAAACTTAGTGGTCCTAGTATATACCTATAATTGGCAATATTTTAAAGGGGGCTACTGGAAATAATCGATTTTATTGTTCGTTTCACCAATCAGAGACTAGGGATCATTGACTTAGGGATGATTGAAATTAAGGCTTGGGTGCTTCGATAATCAATTTCTTAGTCGTTTTTGCCTAAACTTGGCGATGGTGAAATAATGTATATTAAGACTGTGGCTATCATGATCAATTTGATTGTAACCAATTCTACAAGGTACACATTGTGTAAATGTTTTATAGATGTTGTGTATATATTTTTATTTGTGTACATGGATATCCTGGATCAAGTAAAAAGTACATTAATGCTTTATTATTAATCTTAATCTCGAAATACAGGATCCAGAAATAATAATAAAAATGTCCATAACACAGAACAATTTTGGTCAGTAATAAAAAAATGACATTTCATATTATTTTGTTGTTTAATTTCCCACATTACGTTTTATGTTGCAGAGACGGCTAATTTACATTAGTAAAATAAAAAATTGATGGTCGAAAAACTACAACAAAAGCTTTGTTAATTTTGCTGACTGAAATTTTTAGACCTGTTGGAAAAGATTTGTAAATTCTGTTATTTTTATGGGTTCAATTAGGGTCTTCTAAAATGGTCCACACTTCCTCTAAGCAGAAAAGAAAAGGTGCGACACGAGGGATAAAAGCAATATTTTAGTATTTCCGTTTCCATTTATTAGCCCAGTGTGAGAGAGAAAGAGAATGTAGCGTTGTGGCAACAATAATAATCGCAGAGAAACGCTAAAATGTCGTCTCTCGCGCCCTTTCGTGCCGTTGTTGGCAACCGGTTTTGTTTGTGGAGCGGTCCTAAAACGAACCAACCAATAGCAACTTAGCTTTATAACAGGCGTTCCATTAGCGATAGGCGAGACAGAGAATACTGAGGAGCGGGGTAGTGCGGGGCATGGGTGCGGTGGCCGGGCGGCAGCGCGCGTTGTACAGCAGTCGTATTTCGTTACTCAAAAAGAAGGTTATTGTTACAATGAGAAGTGCACTGGACTATCGATAAAGTGTGTTTGTATGTCGTTTTCGTCGATAATAAGTGTTGTGTTTACTTTCACCCGTGCGAATGTCTCGATTCTTACCTTTTTGTTTGTTTGTTCTTTTAATTACTGCCGCATGGGACGGCGCTTACGTTTCAGTTAACCCTTTATTTTGAAACGATGGAACGTTGTTCTTATGGTTTTTACACTAAAAGGTATTTTATGTTCTTTCTTTACTTTACTCTAGCGATTTGATGTGGATAGGTGCATCGCGTGTGGTACAAAATGACGTATTAAGATTTTTATTTGTGGTACCTTGTAAAAAAGAACAAAATGTTTGTGGACCTGCAAGAAGTTGAAAAGACTTACGTCTCGTCGTCTTATGCTGGGTTTCTAAAAGTGTTGCTTCTACTTTTAGTCAAGTAGTAGGGGTTTAATTGGTATTATTATTGCAACACTTCGGGGAAAAGACGAGACAATACAAGGCCCTCGCAACGCACCCGAGGGTCGACAGTCGAGGGGAGGGAGAGCACCGTCTGTCTGCACACATGCAGAACCGGTTTTCGCTTTAACGCCCCTAGTGCGCCGCAATAGTCTCTTTCTTGCGCCACACGCGTCTGCATATTGCCTTCCCATTCGCTCGTTTTCATTATTTTTTGCTTCCCATTGTGAAATGATGCCAGCCAGACGGATCGTTTTTATTTAGGTATATGTCCCTAACAGGAGTGTGACTAAGTACACTAGCCTATTAAACGTGGTAAGTACACGATCAGGTTCGCAAGGCACTGCTACCTTGTATGTTTGATAGTCGTGTAGTTTTTCCAGTTTAACTATTATTGTTGCCCTCAAAAAATTTTCATTGATTTTTACTTGCTTCCTGAAGTACAATATTATATTAATATATCTAATTTGGAAGTAAAATGTTTTCGTATACCTATCTACATAGTTACATATGTTCTACATAACCTCCCTAAGTCTTTTGTGACTTTGATTATTTTAAATAAACTAATTCACCCCACATTGTGTTTTACTATCGACTCAAAATGGAATGGATGCATCGATGTAATTGAAACCTAATTCAATATAATAGATACCTACACCGCATTATGCCGCCAACCAACTTACAGTTGTTTAAAAATTATATCTTTATTGAAGTTTATAAGTAAAAATGTTTAATATAATTTTTTTAGAAGCACATTGCTTGCAGTGTTCAAAGTCGTACGTTAAATTATCTTGTTTAACGATTTTTTTGGGGTTTAGAGCCATAATGACTGAAATACTTACCTCAATAGCATTCTACGGGGTCATGGCCTGTAGGTAATGATAGTTTTAGTAGATGTCAAATGCAAGGAAAACAAATCGATGAACTTTTTTTCTTTAAATTTTTAAATTGCCTTTTTGTCTTAGAGGATGAAAAAAATGCTTTATGTTAGAGTAAAATAATACGGTGTTAGAAAAAATAAAAGTCAATAATATCGGCACTAAAAAAGCAAAGGAATTATTAATATTTGTTACTTTCAAAGGTCCTATAAATGAAATACTATAACGGAACACTTATACAATCTGTCAAGTCATCCGTACCTGTTTTTCGTGGGGCTTTCATTAGTCTGTTAAGGGCATTTATCTCTAAAAATTATAGACCATCCAAAAGTTTATCCCTCATATAAATCCTTCATTCTTTTTTTTTAAATCGACCTCAAATTTTGCTAATCCGCTTTCGCTGTGTTCGTTACCGCGGTTTCTTCAACAACAATTTGAAATGCATTTGGAAGTCCTCACTAAAACTAATCACATGAGCTCAAACACAAGGTAGCTGCTATATACTGTAGAGGAGTTCCTGTCATCTGTCTGCCATTTCCACCTGATATTTACATAACATTTTATTTTCATTGCAATTACTTACATCCATGTGCCAAGTTTTATTGAAATCAATTAACGTTTATTGGGCGAAATTCAATAAACCGGATTCATCCCCAAATTTGCCACCTTTATAGGTGCAATATTTTCTTCAAGTTTGAATGGAACTACTACAGAGCAGAGGTACCCCTTTCCAACACAAGAAAATCATTAAAATCAGTTGGAGTAATCGCGTAACATACTCACAAAAAATACAGGCATATTAAGAACCTCTTCCTTTTGTGAAGTTGGTTAAACATATGACTAGTGGTATCATAGATTTCGTATATATCATGAGTGGCCAAGAGTATACAGGATGGTAAATGCACATGTGTAAAAACATTTAAATTCTTTATGTAAGGCGATTATCACGCGCGCGGTGGCGGAGACGCAGATCTGCGTCAACGCGCGGTTTAATCTGCGCGGTGGCAGCTGTCTAGCGGCCTTAGGTCACTTAGGCTCAACTCACATCGGCGCAGAGTCGAAGCGTCGCGTCGTGTTCTGTTTTTCAACTACAACGCTTGGCGATGCGCGTCGTCACGCAACGACTCTCGCATTAGCGCGCCCGTATCACAGTGCGGTCGGCGTCTGCCACCTCACTGCGTTCAAGTGACGCGTGTCGACGCGCGAAGCCGCTCGACTGCATCCAAGCGTCGACGCCCGTTTCCATATTTGCATAACACAAATTTGTGCCTTAATAATGGGAAAATAGAGATGAATATACTATAGGCGAAAAACATGACGCGTCGCGACACTTCGACTCTGCGCCAGTGCGAGTTGAGCCTTAACGTACTCGGTTCACAGTTAATAGCCGTAATGATTGTATATGTAGCCGAGATCCTTTGACAAGAATGGTTAATAATACAGAACGCATTCAAGACGCTGCAGTTATTCTGTCTATTTGGTTTTTGTTTACTCAAATAAAAGACACCGAAGATATTGGATACATCCCTTTTTACGAACCAGATCGATAAATGGATAATTTCAACTTCATTACAAAGATTTAAGAAAATATGAAGATAAATTTGGTCGATTTTCAACAGCTACATTTGCTATTGAAAATCGAATTTATCGACGTCGAGATCTATTGTAGAAAACTAAACATGTCCTTAAGCTTAAAAATCTGCGCAGTGGAGCGGAGCGCGGTGTGCCATACCCTGCGGTTCGCTGCGCTTCGCGCGGGGGCGCGGTAAAACCCCACGCGCTGGAGAAGCGTTGTCAGTGTGATCGACGGCGCGTGTTTTCCATACCAACTGAGGTACTTCAGTACAACGTTAAAAAACGCAGCTCCGCTCTCCGTCGCGGCGTGTGGTGCAGTGTGATAATCCCCTAAGCCTTGTGTAGTGCGTAAGAAGAAGTATTAGGCTTAACAAAAATACTTATAAAACAACAACGATATCTATGTACTCTTACGTAATATACGCAGACTCAGAGTCATCAATCAGTTTTGAAGTTATTAATAGGATACTTTTAAACTTAAATATTTACTTTTACCTCCATGCTCCACATTAATAAGGCTAAATTCAGATGGCAAAAATCGAAGCTTGTTTTCAAATAGCGCGTCTAGTTATTCATACATTTTACATACGCTCGTTCACATATCCGCGCGTTATCGTGCGGTACCGCCGCCACCGCGTTCTGAGGAAATATTTCGAAACGCATGTCGCCAATGGAAGTGCGCGTTGCGGCGCGTTTAAAATTATATTATGTTCTGACGGTGCTGTACAGTCAAGAGCACGTCAAGCTTGACACTTTGTACTTTGATCTGTTGTTATCGTAAGTGGCATAGGTTGGATTTCAATCTTAAGTGTCAAGCTTGACGTGCTCGTGACCCCGTCTGTTCAGATTACCGCGTGTTATTTTAAAATTAAAAAAAAAAGTTGTTTTGGCGCTAGACTACCTTGTTTTTTAATTCGGATTGAGCATTAGTACTAAGTAAGAATACCTTGGAAATTAACAATTTTTTCGGATCTAAATCGCGTACCAATCCAAACCAACGTTTGGCTACGGCTGAATAATGAGAATACCTTGTCTGTTGACAAATTCATGTCTAACAGGTTCTTTAGCGTCACGCGCGTAACATATCTAGTACGTCTCTTTCAAGGCCCTAGAAGCTAGTAATTTTGGTTCTCGCGAGGTTGTCGCTTAGATTATGGAAACTAATCCATCTCCTAAGAGTGGTTACACACGGCGACTTTTAGCAGCGATTCAAACGCGCGTTCGTGAAACGGTACACTTACGATTTTTAGACGATTGCATACGAACGTGCGACTGCATCGAAGCAAACTCGCGATTGCATCGATATAATTGCTTATAAATCACAAGTGTGGCGATGCTTAAAGGCTGCTTAAAGTAGCTTTAATTTTGCTGTACCTTAGCATTAGTTTTCACTTAAGTACTACATTTTGCACAACTCAGTCACGCTCGTCTATTTCCTCTAGGTATGTACATTGATCTGACCTTTTTATTAACATATTTAATCTGGGTGAACCAAATACGTCGAGGACGACCTTTTTCCACATTTCCATTAGCTTAAGCTCTGTAAATTTGTGTAAATAACATCTATTTTCTATCTGTTATATGACTAAACCACACGTCACGCCTTCATCTTTTATATCACACGGCTCTCCTTATTATTTATTCCCTATTGTATCTCCGTAAGTGTTACTGAATGCATGTTACTTTCGTGCTTCTGATACAATAGGTTTATGCACTATTTGCTATCGTACAACTAGGCTTATTAGATTTGATTTCGTTTAAAGTAATAATAAGTATTGTCTATCAGTATCAAAACATTCTTAAAAAATAAACTGTATTCATAAAGCATTACTTCGATTCTATCTTCACCCTCTGCGAAATATCGACGTTCTTTATTCAGCAACGTTGGTGCATTGTTTATTTTGGATTTCCGATCTCATAGTAATGGAAAAAGCAGTTATGGAAATGTTGACTTTTAAAGAAGAAAAAGAATATTGCTTGTTATTTCATTACGTATATTTGTACTCTAGACCCTTATTCTAGAGCACGTTAAGTCTGGCGCTTAAGATTGAAATTTCAACTCTATGCCGCTTATGTTAAAAACGTTCCGAAGCATCAAGCTTGTTGCACTCCTAATTGTACGTCAAACACGTTGTCGATACCTAGCAGGGATTTGTAGTTCTATTATCGCAACTAGGGTTAACAAGCTATTTCCTTTACGTTACATCAGAAGTGCTTTTTTTTTAGCATGTTCATGAAACTAAAATTGACGCGTGAAAATATTTAAATTAACATCATAAATTAATAGTGCAGTGGCAATTTTTAAATACAAGACACTATTCATTTATGTCTTTAATGTTTTATCAAAATAAAAAAGTTAAATTCAGACATAAAACCGATACTTTTTATTTTATATTTTTTCTATTATATCAGATATATAATAAATATTCATATTTTATGGTACTTAAGTTTATTTTTGGTAGGTACTGTGGTATAGTCAACAAGAAAATGTATTTGAGGGTTGTACAGTATTTTATTTAGTTTATTAAAAATGAATAACAGTAACTATACTTTATTGGTCACGGTCTTGAACCCTTTGTTATTTTCTTAAATACTACTTCTAGAGTGATTTTTGTTACTTGTGATTTGAATTATTAATGACTTGTCACCTGAAAAAATTGATTGTTTGTGATTATACCTTAGCATTAAACTTAAATTTTAAATATTACTTAAGACTTATTTTTTGTTACTTGTGATTTGCAATATCGCACCCCTCACGGAAAATACCACGGAAATAAGTAGAGTTACGTCAAACATGTTTATTGTTCCATTAGATACAGAAAAATATAATACACTTCCCTCAAATTCTTGTACATCTATCGACTAATTTTGTAGATAGTTATAAGAATTGGAGAGGATGTGGGTTATATTTTTCTTCTGTGCGATATGTCAATATGTTTGCAAAATAAAACATTTGTTGATGTCGTGGAAGAACTGCGGTATATGTCTAAAAAAAATGAAAACGCCTAGAATTTTGTTTCTACCTTTATTGCAAGATGTACAAAAGCGCCTGCCCTTTTATTTACTGTAACATGTACTGAACCATAGACAAATAATTTTATGTCATCATACCATAAAGAATGGAAAAAAATAAAGGCATCATACCTTAAGCGTTGCTGTCAAAATGTTTGACACATCGTGGTTGAACATAGTGGTTACATTCTCTTTGATACCTATTTCTTGACTCTCACCTGTTACCTACCGTTAGTTTTGTTGCGGTAAATCAATAAAAATAATGTTGTATTAGCACTTCTGTATATTTTATGCACTAAACTCAATTGTAAAGTGAGCTATTGTTTAGTAAACTGATATCCGAATTAATTGCTTTTATTATTATCTTAGTCATAAATTTCTATGTGGGGCATTGACTTTAATTTGTAAGTCAATGATGCGGGGGCTTATTTTTACTTGCAATAAATAAAATACCACCTTCGTTTAAAATTAATGGATATTAGTATTGCGTCAACTATCTAATATAGTTTTATCGCATAATGGCAGATGTTAACAGGTATTAATGTGCATCACATGGACGGGGTCATAACAGATTTAATGTTTTTTTTTTTAAGTTCCATTGTGCTAACTGTTATTAAGTGTTTACTTTGGATTCACGATGTTACGGTTTAATCTTGAAGGCATGTTTCTTTATTTCAGATCTGAAATCTTAGATAATATTCAGAAGAAAAAGGAGCAAGAGAAAGAACAGCCTCAGGCTTCTGGGTTTCAGCAGCAGCCATTAGCAAAACCATCTGAAAAGCCATTGCATGCAGATGGGCAGGGTGGGACTGTTCCAGTAAATCAGCATGTTGCTTCACAGCAACTTCTTTCACCTACACATGGCACCAGCCAACAACTCGTGGCAAAGGAGGACACCAAAGACAAACCAATAAAAGTAGCCAATTCCACTACCATAACATTGATAGAGAATGGTAATGTTAATGCAGACAAAGACAAAGACAACAACTACCCAAAAAACTACTTCACATTAGAGCCCAAGAATGACAAGAAGGATGATGGAAATAAAAACAGTATTACTATAACTCGAACTGTGCCAAAGCAGTCTCCTGGTAGTGCACAGGTTGACAAGTCCAAAGGTCCGCAGAAGCCAACAAAGAGACCCTTACAGTGTTTGGAGACTCTAGCAGAGAAGGCTGGAATTACATTTGAAGATAAATATGAGGCAGCTAATACACTATTAGCACTGGATAAGCAAAATAACAGTTTTAGGAGGCCTGCGGAGCTGAAGCAGCCAAAAGCCGAGCCTGAAAGTAATAATCAGAGTGAAGAATATAGGTATAGAAATCAAAAGGAAGAGGATGATAAATTGCAGGTATATATATTTCTATACATTGCATTCCTGCAATATTTATATATACATCATCAAGTATATAACCAGAAATAGAGATGAAATGTCATTTAATTTGCTTGAAAACTTTTATTTTGCCAAATCATTACTGTGACAAATGCACTCCGATTGGCTAGCCCGAATTTGAAACTTACAGGTGTCATCAATTGTTTCACTTCAAATTGACCGGTTTAATATAGTATAATTTAATATAGTATAATATATATAATATAGTATAATTACCAATGAAATGTGGTTCCGTATATTTTGTAATTAGATGTTTTGCTGTTTTTCCCACACCACCGAATGGAACAGCACCCATTGTTTTATTACAATAAATATAGAATATTTTTGGAATATACAGAGACATACACACAGGTCAGTTGTTGGCGTTGTACTATTTCAGTTTTCTAATTTGTGATTTGTGCGCAAACTAGAGTTGATATTTAAAAGTGATATAAGATTTTTTTTCCCATTTGCCTGATGAGTTGCCAAGGATTGATGGCCCTTATTTCGTCTCTATTTCTGGTTATGTACTTGATGATATACATACACACCTATATGCCTGTATCAGTACTTGTAATTTATTTTTAAAACCATTCTTTTCACAGATTCAACAGCAAATAATCCAACAACAGCAACAACAACAGCAGCAGCAACAACAACAACAACAACAACAACAACAACAACAACAACAACAACAACAACAACAACAACAACAACAACAACAACAACAACAACAACAACAACAACAACAACAACAACAACAACAACAACAACAACAACAACAACAACAACAACAACAACAGCAACAGCAACAGCAACAGCAACAGCAACAGCAACAGCAACAACAACAACAACAACAACAACAACAACAGCAGCAGCAGCAGCAGCAGCACCAGCACCAACAATTGCAGCAGTTTCAGCAGCAACAATTGCAACAGCTACAGCAGCAACAGCTGCAGCAAATTCAGCAACAGCAGGCACTGCACAGACAGCACCAGCAGGCTGTCCAACAGCACATTAAGAATCAGCAGGATCAACAGGAATTGGTAAATTACATTGTACCTATTTTATTGTAGTTGTTTTTGTTGTATGTGTTAGTTATCATTTGAAATAAACACTGAATGAGATATTTCAATGTACACATTTTAAAATAATTGTACATTTAGTTACAGAAGCAATTCCAAACACAGCAGCAGCAGAAGCCAGAGTTCCAACAGGTCTCCCAGCATCCTGAATTACAGCACCAGAAGTTTTTACAGGTTTTTTAATATTAATACATAACTATAATTTTTACGCACTAGTAAGTAGTATTCACATAATTCGAGGCACCTTGCATTTTCAATACTAAATGCCCTTAGCGTAAACAATGCTTGTTTGATCAATAACTATTATGCAACTTTGAAACTGATATACTAAACGTCGTTTCTTTAAGTCTTTATTGAAAAATAAAATTTTAAAAACACGGAGAAACTCTTGTATTGATAAAAATGCACGGTGGCTCAAATTATGTGTCTGGGAGTGTATTATTACACATTTTGAACTCCAGTTGAAAATGGTATGGTGTATTTGTTATAAAAATTGCTAAAGTACCTATGCTTCGTACTTTACAAAAGTAATTGAAAATTCGATATACAACGTGTTGATTTGTATTCTCGCCATATTTACAGAGGTCATTCTATACCCGAAACTGAACCCAAATCACTAAAAAAATAAATCGAAAAAATATTTCGTAAATTCCTATTTTGTATTTAATTGCAGTAAACAAATTTCATCCAAAGGTCATTGACTTGCACAGCAATTGCAAACATTTTGAACAATGACCTTAAATGCGCAGAAAAATCTCATTTTAGACCTATTTGGTGGTGGGTGCGGGTAGCGGCGGCGGGGAAGTGTTGTATCGAGAGCGCGATTGGAAGAATAGTCAACATTGCTTCCCGTATTGCGTCTACGTCACGATGACATTCCGCATAGGTACATTCTATTCTAGTCTGTCACGAAATGCCACGTGGTTTGGTATGTAAACGAGAGTTAGTAGTGCAAAAAACAGACTTAGTAGTACAAGTACGTGTCTATTATGGCATGATGTGAAACGTTTAGTTTACGCGGAGGGTACGAGTGTCGAAGTTTCTGCTTTCAAAATTGTGAAGTCTAATTTTGAAACCAAACTCACGTACAAATTTCTGCATCACTTGTGCAGAAGGTGAGGTAAGCCAGCCACCAGCTGTGGAGCTAGGTACTTCCAGCAAAACTTTCATGTAACCTAAAGTTGGTATGTACCAAATATAAGTTACAAAAAACTTTTTTCAGTCTACTTTTCTAATTAATGCAAATAAATAGTTAATTATAACAATACTGGTACATAATCATAATTTAAAAAATAGATAAATAAGCGATCGAGAAAGAATACGTATCGCTCGGTGAAGCGGGTGGCGGGGTCACTTGCGTAGTGCATATGAGTTGAAATAATTTTGCAAAACTTTACTAGAAACAATTAGCCAGAATATTGAACAGATTTTTCTTTTAAGTACAAAGACACGACGCAAGCACATAGAAAAATTCGTGAGGTCCGTTGGTTCGTTCCGTGGCTTAGTTGGTATAGCGTCTGGCACGGTATGCAAGAAGACGTCTGTTCGAATCCGACCGGATCGAAGGAATTTTTTCTGAGTGTTTTTTCTGAGTGTACGATCTTTGTATTAATAATTATAAGAAACTAGTGGAGTAATTTCACAAAAAATAATTGAATATCAATTCAATAAAAATTTAATTAATAGAATTTTCTTTTTTAAAGTTTTTTTTAGATGGTTTAGCATTATTTCTATTATTAATTTCTTAAATATGGCGAAAATGCAAATCAACACACTGTATACAGATATATTATTATGTGTATATGTCCAAAAATGTTAGGAAATGTTACCTGGTGTGATCAATCAAGATGTTTTGTTTCAATATATTGTGGGAATGTAGTGTTTAGAGCAATTATCTGTCAGATTTACTAAGCTACAAGCTAGTGAATGCGGCCGTGATATCTATGACGACTTGGAGTTGTATGTCACTTGTTGCAAGCCTTCACGTGTATTGTTTCGTATTGTATTGATTCCTACTTACTGTGTTCTCAATTTGCTCGCTGAGAAGACATGGACATGAACAAAGAGTACGAAAAATAATTTCACAAAACAAGTTCACTTTCACAAAAATAAATTGTTTGGTAAATAAATGTTATATTTTCTAAACACATTTTTTAAAGTTAAAGAAAAATGACTCGCATTATCAGCCAGTCCCAACTCACCGATAGACCTAGCACCGCGTGGCCACGGCACTGTTCGAGGTGGCCGTGACTTTGCTTGGGTTGATCGTATTGTCGCTCGAAGCGGACGTAGCCGCTCAGGGTGTCGCGTAGCATTAGGCAGGGTCTATTTTTCTAACTCGAGCATACTCTGTCTACACTGAGTCAGCACTTGCACACAGGTCCGGCTCGACAGGTCTCGATCTGCCTAACAATATCCGTTTGTTACGACCCTCTGTACAAGGGTCGAAAGCCTCTTCTATCATCTACTACTAGTGGGTCCTACTGGAGGAAAAATGATTATAATGGGGTAAATAAAATATATAAAGATGAAAAATATTCCCGTACAGTCCATCAACCTGCTTTTAAATGTTCCTTGCCAACAACATATGCACGTGCTTTTAGCTATATAGCAACAGAGTTATGACCCCCTACCCCAACGTTGAACCTTATTCAGTGGCTATCGTCAGAATGTTGTTGGATATAAATAGGAATCCACTTGGGGATACATTTAGTTTTTGCAATGGGTGGCGCGACTACGTAAATACGTGTGATAAATTAACTAAACCAAGTGTTGAAAGTATATTTTTAATAATAATAAAGGTTTTCTTTCAATAAAAAATATTTATTACCAAATTGCAGACAGTTCGTAGGCAGGTAAACTGCCCCTATGCGTTTTTGTGTTGCTTACACGTGCTATTGATTTCACTGGGCACACAAAGTCATATTTCAAGTTATACAGACTGCAAATTTAAACCCTCTCATGTAAATTGTCCTCCTCGTGATCAACGGCTTAGAGGCGTATAGACTTAGCTTTACGTGGCAGCAATGCGTGAAAAAGGTCACTGCTTTTAGTAGCATATTAATTGATCTTTGGTACTGTCTGATCAGTAGCCTGTAGACCTGCATATTTACCGAACCAGTAAACAATTGTACGCTAATGTTTAACGCTTCGAGTTCGAAGACGGCCATGTCAATTTCCCATATAGGAATATGCGCGTAAGTCATCTGAAGCCGAGTGTCATTCTTCCTATTATTATGAAGTTATTGAAAGACTTCGTTGATTGAAGATGTGGGATACTGAGTTATTTGAATCGATATCTGGAAGATTACAAAACGAATAACAATACCACTGAATGTAGCTTATTAACAGATTGCAAAAAAAGGAGGAGGTTCTCAACTCGACTGTAATTTTTGTTTGTGAACCGATTTTGATGATCCTTTTCTTGTTGGAAAGAGGGTACCTCAGCAGTGGTCCCACTTAAATTTGAAGAAATATTTCATCTCTAAGTTTGGTAAACTAGAGGATGAATGACCCTTGACGTCGGTTTTTTAGTACTCTGTACTGAGATTATTCACTTGTCGATGTTTATCTGTCAAAATTTTTAAAATTGACGTAAAAATGTATTTATAGCCATATAAATTGAACTTAGAAATCGTAACGTTTTTATTTAAAGTGCATCACTGAATGTCTTTCAATGTTTTTACGTTGTAAACTTATTTGCAACAATGCTAGCCCTTATACTATATTGACTTTAACATTTACTTCAAAAACTGTTCAATAGTGCATTTCACTACGATACTTTTCTCTCTCATTGCAATCTTAAGTTTACAACTGGTTGTATTTTGGGTCGTTTATCTACTAATTATTATATGCAGGTCGTGAATAATCAGCCTGTGCATACACAGCAGTTCAATGTCCCGGGGATAGGCGAAATAAACTTAAGTTTTCTGCCGACCCCACAGAACAACGTGAACTTGATCTTCGACAAGAATCAAAAGACCGGAATGAGCGGCGAAATAAAACCACAACAAGTAAGTGGCTAGTCAATATAAAATTGCAAATAACTGTGAATCATACCATTCGGGAACCTTTCGTATAAATTCGCTTTGCCTTTTTTTAAAACGAAAAACGATTACAAAACTTCAAGCAATGTCGAGTTCAGTAATGAGTTTGATGAAAGCCCGTTACAAAAAAAAAACAAATGTTTGTTGTATTTTTTTAGTGTTAAAATTAATCAACTTTAAAGTTTATTAAATGTATAAGTAATGAATAGTTTTTATTTTAATTTTTATCTTTCTTTTATTTTTTAATCTAACATTTAAATATTGACTGATATCAAGTCCCTATTACGAAAATCTGCCTCATAACTCAATATATACTCCAATAATAGTTTTGGCCATTAAAACCTCGGAGCACTTACACATTCTTTACATCACAATTGTGTTGTAGTTGAATATCGTGAGTTAAATTTTCCAATGTCGAGTTATTCTAATTTTGATATTATACTAATTCCCTCTCTCTCTTATCTGAGCGTTGTCCCGGTTGCGTCCTCAGCAGTGTTACTGCGGAGCCCGGGGTCCGCTTTCCTGCTTTTTCTCCTCCACTTTGCACGGTCTTCGGCATCCTTAGTGGTGAGACCATTGGCACGCATATCACCCTTGGCGACGTCAAGCCAGCACTTCTTGGGTCTGCCCCTTCTACCGGGGCCCGGCGGAGGTGGCGTAGCCAGACATTTGTTTCCCACGTAGCATGCCGGTTTCGGTAAGATGTGGCCGTACCAACGTAGGCGGCTTTCTTGCAGTTTATCTGCAATGTCACAGACGTGAAGGCTGCCGCGGATGCGGAAGTTTCTGACACGGTCTTTCCGTGAAACTCCACACATCCAGCGCAGCATCTTCATTTCCATGACACGCAGCTCCTGCTTATGGCGCTCAATTACGGACCACGTTTCACTGCCATATAAAAGGACAGGCCTAATGATGGATTTATAGACATGTCCTTTCAGCTTAATCTTGGGGTCACAAATGACACCAGTCACCTCACGTCACTTTGCCCAAGCGGCTGCGATTCGGGCTCTGACGTCGCAGTCGATGTCTCCGGACGCGCTAAGTACAGATCCCAAGTATTTAAACTGGCCCGTAGGCTCGACCGCGTCTTCGCCTATGCGAACGGGTAGGGGATCTGTAGCGTTGCAGACCATGTTCTCAGTCTTCGCCACATTTAGTCTCAGACCGCCGTTCTCAAGCGACTCCTTCCACACATTCACTCGTCGTACCAGTCTCCCTCTCTCCGCATCCGCCAGCGTACATAAGCATCCACGGGGGTTGCTCATGCGTGTCTCGGATGGAGCTTGAGACCTCGTCTAATATCACGCTGAACAGATAGGGACTGAGAACTAAGCCCTGGTGAACTCCGACTGTGATAAGGAAGGGTTTAGTATCACCAACAGCAGTCCTAACCATGGAATCGGAATCGCGGTACATGTCTCGGATGATGTCAATGTAAGCTTCTGGTACCCCTTTGGATCTCAGTGCCCACCAGATCATTACACGGGGGATACAGTCGAAGGCCTTCTGCATGTCAAGAAACATGAAATGCAGAGGCGTATTCTTCAATCTGTATTTCTCCATGATGACCCTTAGGGCAAAAACAGGATCCATGGTCCCAAGACCAGGCCGAAACCCATATTGACCCTCCGAGACAGCACTCTTCTGTCGGATCCGAGAGCCTATTATACGCTCGAAGAGCTTCATGGTGTGGGACATGACCTTTATGCCCCGATAATCGCCACACTCCTGCACCGATCTTTGAAGACTGGAGTGATAATACTCAGTCTCCATTGGTTAGAGATTTTACCGGTGAGGAGCACGCAATTAAAGAGGCCGGTAAGGATGCCCACACCACGGGGACCCATTGCCTTCCAGGCCTCGATGGGAACCCCGTCGGCTCCGACAGCTTTCCGATTCTTCATGCGACGAAAAGCTAAGTGGACTTCCTCAGGTGTTACCGGTCGCACTAGTCCCTGATTCGGAGGGAGGACCGGTGGCTGCACCTCTCTGTGCTGCTGATTCAGCAGCTCGTGGAAATATGAGCGCCATCTCTCCTTCACCGCGTCGACCTCGCATATAAGGTTGTCATGAGGGTCTTTAATGCAGCGACACTTGGAAATATCTTGTGCCGCTAGGACCCTCGAACGTGCCAGCTTAAAGATAAGCTTCTGCCCCTCAGACGATTCCTACTTGTCGTACAACGGCTGCAAGTGGTCCCGTCTGGCTCTGGCTACAGCATTCTTAGCGGCACGTTTGGTATCCCTATATGCATCGCGGTCTTCAGAAGATCCGGGCGCTTACCACGTTTTGAAGAGGGCTTTCTTCACCCTCACCTCCCTCTGGACTGTGTCGTTCCACCACCAAGTTTCTTTGTCACATTTGCGACCACCCTTGGACAAGCCCAGCACCGCTTTCGCCGCCTCAGATATGGCAGCCTGAATGTTGTCCCAGTGGTTCTGGACTAGATCACCTTCAGTGTCGGCGCATTTATCGCCGATCGCTGAGATGAACTCCTGGGACGTGGTACTATCAAGCTGCCACCATCTGATTTGGCGTCGGCAGCGCTCAGCGGGCTTATCGGCCGGATTTACGCAGAGATCCATGACAAGAAGACGGTGTTGCGCAGTGAGACTCTCACCTGGTATGACCTTGCAGTTGGCCACTTTGCTGATATGGTGTCTCCTGGTGAGTAGGAAATCGATTTGGGTGGCGTGTCCGCCGCTCCTGTAGGTGATTAAATGCTCGGGGTTCTTTTAAAGAACGTGTTCACGATGGCGAGGTCGGCCGCTGCACACGTTGTGAGGATGTCTCCTCCCTCCGCGTTGCGACTGCCGTACCCGTAGCCACCGTGGACCCGCTCGAACCCTTCGCACGCCTCACCCACATGACCGTTCAGGTCGCCACCCAAGACGACTGCCTGCGACAAAGGAATGGCACTCAGCACTTCCCCGAGTTGATCCCAGAACCTCGCCCTGTCCGTGTCGCTGCAACCGGCCTGAGGTGCGTAGGCGCTTATCAAGTGGGTCACGACCCCTTCGATAAGCACCATATATTGCCTAATAACGCCATATAATGCCATTGATATTATACTAATTATATACATTAAAATATTATACTAATTTTAAAGTATTTTGTACCCTCTGCATCAATAAAGACTTTGATTTTGTTATCAAAACATTTATTATTTTGTCTTGATCTATATTTTATGAATTAAATTGTTACTACTGAATATAGTTTGATATGATGCTTGCATTAATTTTAATGATAATGATTTTTAGCGAAGTGGGCAAAAATGAACCTGAAATAATTTTATTCTTAATTTTTGAAAATATTTTTCAAACCTCTAATGGACATTAATTTTAAATATATAGACCATAGATGAACATATATTAAGGAAGTACTATGTGAAGATCTTAATATACAATTATTTTTAATGGTCACACTTAGTTTAAAGCTCTTTTGCTTCTTGTGTGATTATTGAGTGTTCAAGTACAAGTACAATATCCCTTAATTAGAGTTTCCTCTTTAAATCTACTACACTACCACAACAACCACGATCAACGGACTACCTGTACATTCCCATCTGTTGTATAAAATCCTATAAAAGCATTCTACTCTAACACAGATAGTTGAGAATCAACCTCAAGTGGTTCAGCAGCAGATGAGCATGGCGCAGCACGAGTCGCCGCAGCAGCATCATCAGACTGTTACCGTCGTGTCTTCCATGCCAAGCAGTATGGCGCAGCATCAGGTAACAGTGATGTCGGTACAGTGTCTGGCATGTACTGATTTTATTAATCCTTCATGTTCTTTGTGCTACGGACATCGTACCAAATCTCAGACAATACATTCTATTTTATTTTATTTTTGGATGTTGTTATAGGTTGTTAGGTGTTAAATATAATGCTCGAATGTACATAGACAAGGGTCAAATAAAAATTCCATGGAAACCAAAATGTGAGTCACGGATAATGTTGATATTGTACGGTTTGTTCACCTTTCAATGATTAGAGTCTGATAGAATGTGAGAGTTTTTGCTAAAAGAACTGCTAAAATGATGACTGATAGATGAAATGTGCGATGGCTTCCGAGTGAGTTTAACTAAAGTGCATTTCGTAATTTATGTATTTCTGTTACATAGACCTAATAACCGGTCAATGGCGCAATGTGCTTATCCTACAAAATGTACGTTCGTGTATCGTACATGTTCCAGGAGAGGAAAAAGGAAGCGTGTTAGAATGGTATGATAAGATGCTGGTAACTGATGGGTTAGATAATGATAATGTGATACAATAAATGATAAATGACCTTAAATATTGTAAATGTCGACATAAATATTAAATGATCTTTAATATATTTTACACGTCAACTTAAATATTGGATTTAGGTACTAAAATGACTTCTGAAACTAGGAGAGGTCGCTTTGTTAATTAAAATCGCGTAACGTTGGTTATTAAATTCGCTATCACTTGCATCCGACACGTTGACACTTGTCCTGGGAGCATGTGCAGTGGGGTGAACATTGTCGCTTGCTGTGCGCGGTAGCGTCTGTCCTGCTGGCCGCTGAACACCCTCCTTGCAGGCAGGGTGGTACTCGGGCAGGACGCGCTGATGTTGCTCGAGGTTTGCATGCGGCATCTACGTAGACTACGTCACACCATTGTCAATCCAATACAAATCAGAATTCCTGATATGGTACTGATTAATCCGTACTGGGTGACATCGTGAGACGAGGGGATGTCGGCTAGATTGACTTCAGTCTCCTTCATCTTCTGAATCTGTTTTCCAATCTCATGTAACTTCTGAAGGAAATACGTATTGTTGACGTATTCTTTTGGTTCTGATAATTTGCTCGCATGCTTAATTATGGAAATGGGTAAATCAATGATATGATTTATCGAAGGTATGTTAATTTTTTGAACATTGGCTTCGACCATCAGCGTGTCGTTTTGCTGTCTATGTGAGTAGATAGTAAAATCTGCACCTTTTATTATGCAATCTCCGCTTATAGTTATAATTCCATTTCCTTTTAATTGTTCTGACGTAATTTGATTCCCGCATATGATATGAGCAGTGCATTATCCGCAACATGAAAACAAATGCGTATTTACTAAGTGTAAGTCTGACCACGAAGTTTTGTAAGGTCCGCTGTTGATAGCACACTATTTTGTTTCTTCATTCATGACGCATAAACATTTGTCAGAAATCATATGATACACTGGTGTCTGCAATGAACACATGTGGGTGACGTCGTCATATGGGTCACACCGTAGAAAATCTGCTTGTGTCATAGGGAAGTATGAATCTTTCTGTAAATTCATAGTAATATATTCTGATATAGGTAGTATGCTGATCATAGTGTCGTTCACTTTACGACGAATAGGAAGCAGGTGAAATATTTCGTAAAAATCTCTTGCCACTTACGGTATCCTGATTTCAAAAATGAAATACTGATTCGTCATTTTTGCTCTGATTTTTAGCATATGATAAAGTTTTGCTAAGTCGGTGGCTATGTTGTTAATCGGTTAATGATAGATCTTTTGCTAATTGGCCTGATATAAGGTTCAATTCATTTTGGAATTGTTCTGGGCTAATAAGGTGTACATTGAAAGATCCATTATGCAAGTCAGCTATGGTATCCTGCAAATAATCTTGAATATCTCTCAAGTTTCGTAAGATAATATTTGCTATAATCGCTGATAGGGCAAAACTATTGCTGTTTTCATCTCTTTGCAGGCATTCTTTCATGCTGTTAGCCAACTGCTCTATTTTATTAATGTGTTTATTGATATATTTGTGCTGCAGACACATGGTTTCTTCAACTCTTTGAAGTAAGTTGTGTTGTGTTTCCACAATTGATGTCTGATTTCTCCATAATATTGCCATGTGTTTCTGATTCATGCGTGCTTCGCATCTCTATTTATTCAATATCTTTCTGATATTGTTCGGCGACTTGGTCGTCCAATTCCCCGTACAGGCTGTGTGCTAAGTCGCCAATTCCATTGATAAGGCCGCGGCGAGCACGTGAGTGCGCCTCGCCATTCTGCTGACCAAGTAACATATGACTATAAAGGTCGAGTTCCTTATACCATGACGTAACTGTAACATGATAACGTCACATAACATGGACTTGTCTGTTTTGTCGCATATTCTGCCAATACTACTAAGGTAATGTTTTAACATTTCGCAGCCTTGCCTGTATGGATATTGCCTGTACACGAACAAAACAGCAGTGTTTATTTACAATGTCACTTATTACTTCAGCCTGATTTGTACTAGCGACATTTGTTTGTATATTTTTCGTCACCTCTTAATCGGTTGTAAATACAGGAGGTTCCTTTTCGCCATCTGACTTGTAAATAGACAGCCAGGTGGGTCCAGTCCACCACAACGGATGTTCCTCTAGCTGCTTGACACTGATTCCTCGGATGGCCAATCCGCAGGATTAACGGCCGACTTTACGTACCTCCAGCAGTCTGGGGGCATGATAGTTTTGATCTGCTCTACTCGATTCACTCCAAAAGGTCTCCTTGAAGCCAACACGACGCTGCTGTTGAGTCAGTCCATCCAATATCTTGATAGGCAGGCTTTTTACTACCTTTTGCATGACTTTTGATAGAAGAAGACAAGCCATCGACTCTAATCGGGGAAGAGTGACGTTCTTTTTCACAGGTACCAGTCTCGCCTTTACTGCTTCAATGGTGATCGATGATTGTGATCTACTATCAATGTTTTGTTTGTTTACTTTCCAGTAGATTACGCAAGCGTAGGCTTTTGTTGACGAGTCGCAAAATCCGTGTAATTCAATCTCGTCGTTTTGTTACTGCCTCTGTGGCCGAACGGTTACTATGCCACGTCTGGGTGACTGCCACGCAGATGTCCCAGGTTCAAATCCCGGGCCGGGAGAAATATTTTTATGGCCTACATTTATTTCTCTCGCGAGTTTGGGTGTAATTTGTGGTTGTCTATGTGTGTGTCCATGGCACCCGCAACACATGGTTTCCCTAGTGCGGAGCTATGTTGAGTGTGTGCGTTAGTATTATTATTATTATTTGTTGAGTCTCGAGCCACCGCTTTATTTTAATTTCATTAATATCTTCCAACTCTTCTCGAACGCTTTTCCATTCGTCGACAAATTCGGGTGGTAGCTCGTTATCCCACTGAACATCATGTTGCCATACCTTTTGAAATACGAGTTTAAGTTTAGTGGTAACTGGGGCGTACCATCCGAGTGGGTCGAAAATCTTCGATATTTCTGATAATAAAATTCTTTTGGTTAATGATACTGATTGCTGCTGCTGGGTTGAGTTTGAGTTGAAATGAGAATTGATCGTCAACAGGATCCCAACGTAGTCCGAGCGTTTTAGTGGACTCGGGGTATTTAAATTCAAACGCCTGTTGATTGAGGGATGTTTTTAGACCTTGCAGTAATTCGGGTTTGTTTGATGCCCATTTGCGAAGGTTGAAGCCACCTGATTTGAGCATAGCAATTAGATTTGCTTGTAATTGCTTTGCTGAAGTTATGTCATGGCCACCGCTGAGAAGATTGTCCATGTAGAAGTCTTCTTCTAAAGTTTGTTTTGCTGTGGGTATGTACTTATGGCCTTCGCCGTTTGCTAGCTGCTTCAAGGTCATCATAGCAAGTAAGGGGGCTGTTTTGGTGCCACAAGTAACTGTTGCTAGGTTGTATTCTCGTAACAGCTGATCGGTGTTATCTCTCGAGGTTTTGATCATCATGATGTGTTAAAATCTGCCTAAACATTTTCTCCATATCGGCTGTGAATGCTACTTCATATTGCCTGCACCTTAGTATAAGTGACAAAAGATCACTTTGTAAGTTGGGCCCGCTGTACATAAGATCATGTTAGCTATTGCCAGATATCGTAGGTGATGATGCATTAACCACTACTCGTAATGCCGTAGTAGTTGAGCCCGCGCGCAGCACGCAATGATGGGGTAGATAACAAACCGGTGTCTGATTACTGTTGTTGGTAGCCTCGTGCATATGTCCTAAGTTGATATATTCGTTTATAAACAACTTGTAACCTTCCGCTAATTTTTGATTATTTTTAAACTTCTTTTCTATTTGTAGAAATTGTGCTACTGCTCCCTGCTTTGACTGTCCCAATTTTTCCGAAGCGTTCAGTTTCATAGGAAGTCTGACGACATATCTACCATCTGCTTGTCGATATGTTTGCTCTTTGTACTGTTCCATACAATAATAGTCTGCTGATACACATATTCAATGTATTTTCGTCGATGTCTTCTATTGTCCAAAATCGTTGAATGTCTTCGAGGTTGTTTAAGATGACATTACATTGATATGTCTTGACGTTGCCACATAGCAGCCATCCAAGATGAGTTTGTTGTGCCATGGGCTCTGATAGATTTTCTGCTTTCATGATTCCGCTCATCATGATATGAGCGTATATATCAGCACCCAGTAATATATCCACTGGGCGACTGGTGTAAATTTCTGGATCTGCCTGTTTGATGATTTCGATGTGTGTCCAGTTTGGTTTTGGAAACGTCTGATTTGATAAAGTATTGATTAAATTTTCATGATGACTACTACTACTACATTGCACTCTGTTTCGTGTAGAACAAGCTAGCTGGACAAAATTATTTTCGGTTGCAATTCGTTTCGAATGCCTCTGCTAAGTGCATCTATCAACATTTCTACTGTTAAAAATCTCCAGAATCTACTAAAACAGGTACTTTAGACATTGAAATGCGTATTAGAAAGAACAT